TTCAGTTACGGCCTGCTGTTCGCCTTTAACATTGTCCAACTCAGCAGACCTGTTCCTGGGCTCTGTTTATCCTTCACTAGCCCATCATTTTTCCTTTGCCTAGTTCTTGTAGTCTCATGCTTCCATTGGCCACTTTCCTCACCCAGCAGTCTCCCCTCAGAGTTCTTCAGGCCAGTTCACATCTGAGTCTTGACTTTTCCCTTCAGCCTCCTCTTACCTTCCCTCCCTCATCTGCTCGAATCCCCTTTGAAATCAACTGTATTTTCCACCTTCATCTCCAAACCTCGGATCTTCTCTTCCAACTGCTCTATCAAGCAGCACTTCGTACAAACAAAACTCTTTTCAGGGACCCACTCTAGGATCATGTAAATCCTGCAGCTTCTGCATCTGGTCATCTTCATTGTCTCTTTCATTGCTTGGTTCACTCCCACTTCTGCCTCTGTCTGGCATAGACTTCCCACCTCAAGTCCTGTCAAGGAAAAAGAAAAACAACAAACAAACATACAAATACAAAAACCCAAACAATACCAGAACACCGGACACACCGCTCCCACAAACTCCCACTCATATGCCCCTGTTCACAGCTCAGTTTGCTGTCTCCTGTGCCACTGGCTGGTTGCTTGGTTGTCTTAATAGGCCCCCTAATCAGAGAAGCCCCATTCCCTAATCAGGACTCTGCTCCTCTCAGATCATACTGCCCCCTAACAGCCTCTGCAAACTGAACAGAAATCAGAAAAAACACACATCACCCACAACAATGTCACTGACTGCCACTAAGGAACAGGGTCTTGCCTCCTTCTTTCTCCTCCAACAGAACTCCCACTCAAATGCCCCTGTTTACAGCTCTGTTTGCTGGCTCATGTGCCACTACTCATTAAAGTGTATGAGTAGGCTCAGTTACCATAGGATCTGTACTGGGAACCTGTACTGCTCAACATATTCATAAGTGATCTGGAAAAGGGGGTGAACAGTGAGGTGGCTAAATTTACAGACTATACAGAATTATTCATAAATCCAAAGCTGACTGTGAAGAGTTTCAAAGGAGTCTCACTAAACTGGGTGACAAAATGGCAGATTAAATTCAGTGTTGATAAGTGTAAAGTAATGCACACTGGAAAAAATACACTCAGCTGTACATACAAAATGGTGGGGTCTAAATTAGCTGTTACCACTCAAGAAAGAGATCTTGGTGTCATTGTGGATAGTTCTCTGAAAACATCCGATCAATGTGCGGAAGCAATAAAAAAAGCTAATAGAACATTAGGAACCTTTAGGAAAGGGATAGATAATAAAACAGAAAATATCATGCCACTATATAAATCCATGGCACACCCACACTTTGAATACTGCATGTAGTTGTGTTTGCCCCATCTCAGAAAAGATATATTTGAACTGGAAAAGGTGCAGAGAGAGGCAACAAAAAGGATTAGGGGTCTGGAACAGTTTTCATACGAAGAGATTTAAGAAGACTAGGATTGTTCAGATTTTAGAAAAGAGATGACTAAGGGGGAGATATGATAGAGGTCTATAAAATCTTAACTGATGTGGAGAAAGTGAATAAGGAAGTGTTACTTACTCCTGCACGTAACACAAGAGTTAGGGGTCACCTAACAAAATGAATAGACAGATGGTTTAAAACAAACAAAAGGAAGTACTTCTTCACACAATGCAAAATCAACCTTTGGAACTCATTGCCATGGGATATTGCAAAGGCCAAACGCATAACTGGGCCCCAAAAAAAATTCGATATCTTCATGGAGGATAGGTCCATCAATGTCTGTTAAACAAGATGGTCAAGAACGCAACTGCTAAATCTCCAACTACCAGAAGCTGTGTGACTGGATGGATGGGATGGATCACTCAAAATTACCCTGTTCTGTTCATTCCCTCTGAAGCATTTGGCACTGGCTGCTGTCAGAAGACAGGATACTGGGCTAGTTGGACCACTGGTCTGACCCAGTATGGCCAATCTTATGTTCTTAAATAAAATTTCCCATAGAAATTCCCTATGCCCACGTCAGGGAGCTCCTCACAGGTAATTTTGCCAAAATTTCCCACCTTTTTCTTCAGAAACAACAGAAACGAGCGGTGTTCACTGCATTTCCAGATGCAGCTTCCCATGCTTTTCACACAGACTCCTTCATCCTGTTAAATGTAGATTTGACTGGGCAATAGAATTTGATGCTGACTGAATCTATCGGTATTTTATCTTAATTTATTTTAGTCGCTGAGTCACTGATGCTTGCTAATTCTCTGCTATCTTTTTCTCCATAGCATTTTAAAAAATCATATATGTTAGTGTCATTATACCAGGCATGGCCAAACCGTGGCTCGTGAGCTACATGCAGCTCTTTTATAGTTAAAGTGGGGCTCGCAGAGCTCCCCACAACCCCCCTTCCTTCCCCATTCTCCAACTACCAGACTGAAGTGGGAGGGAGCTCGGGTCCTCTGCCTTACAGCAGGGGTGGTGGGGTAGGGGCTTTTGCCCAGCAGGGAGGGCGGTCTCAGGGCTTCAGCCCCGCGTCGCACGCCTGCCAGGGCTTGGGGCTTCAGCAGGAGCAGGGCTGAAACCCCAAGCCCCAGCAGGTGCCTCCTGAGGGATTGAAGCCCCAACCCCCAGCAGGTGAACCCCAGCTCTCAAACTTCTGAAGATTGTCATATGTTGCTCAGCGTGTCCGTAAGTTTGGTCACCGCTGCTCTATACTATGGACTGACTCCTTACAACATCTGTTGTGGCCTGTGACACACAATGCATATTTTGCAAGTTGTTTAAATACATATTTACTCAATAAGCCAGTGTAATTTGTCAACACTTATTCACTCCCATGAGAACTATTATTCTGTTACACTGGGAAAAGAAAAAAAAAGTAATTGAACCACTGAACAGTTCAGTGCAAGTGATGTTAAGACTCTTAATCAGATCCAGAAAATGCAGAGTTAAAGGGTGTCAAATCTGGCACACAACCATTCCTTAATTTATTTGGCTGTACCTTCACAGAAGAGAGGCTGAGGTTTCAACTAATATATGTGCAGCAGATGTCTCTTGCCAACAGAATGTACAGAAGATGAAACAGGAAGCCTCAACTCTGAATTTACAACCTCGTATAGGCTGAGGCTAGACCTGCAATGTTGTGTGCATGTTGGAATGTATTCACTATTATTAGGATAGTTTACCAACCCCATAATTGAAATCAGTGGTCCAAATTCATCCCTGCTGTAACACTGTGGAAGCCCCTTGAGTTATAATGGGGACGGATAAAACTCCGGTTTACTTTTAAAAAAGAGTTTTACAACTCACTAAAAATTAATTCAATCTGTATAAGACAGTTCTGTGAGCACTTGGGAACACATACAGCTGTGTGAATCACCTATATACATGCACTAGCTAATATATTGGGCAGAACTGTCACATATGTGTGCTATTTTTTGGCATTTGTCCCTAACTCAGCATCTGGCTTAAAAGATGCTCAGTAGAAAAATCTGAAGAAAATGTTCTCTAAACCCTTACACGTAAAAAGGAATTATGTTTTAAGTGTATTATATGCCTCCACTAATCCCAAAAGCAGCCCAGGTCCCGTTCCTGTATCTTTGTTGTAGCCATTATTTTAAAATAATATTTCAGTTTGAAAAATCATTTTTTCCACCTAAAATATGGAGAGCTGCTGAAAGCATATTTTTTAAAGGGATGCTGAGGTTGGTACACCCACAATTTGACCTACTCCCTTTCTCTCACAAATGCGTTAAGTAAACATAATGTTAAATAGAACTCGGGGCCACCCCCAGGAAGCTCTAGCCTTTCAGTATGATCCTTGGGCTCAGCTCTATACCTTAGAGAGAAATACCGTTGGCTTGTAGCAGTACTGGCTATTGGAAATCTGAAACCAAGTGGGGATGTTTGGTGTATTATTTGCTCTTGAGTATCTTGAATGCATTTCTTGCCCATAATGATCTCATTGCATTGCTGGTAGCTGAGCTCTAGGACCCAACAGAATGGTATGGAAGGCCCTGTGGGTGTACACATTTCTTTCAACACTTTCCTGCAGTGTGCTTTGCAAGAAAGAAGTGGGGAAGACTCCTGTGATTTTACTGTGTTTGCAAAATACATGCAACTTCTGATAAGATTCCCTCCACACTCAGTGCTTCCGTGCCCTTATTTTCTTTAAATAAATATGTAAATATCAATGCATCAAAATCTGCAGTCCTCAACTGAGCAAACTTCTTTTAGAATTCAATGGGAATGTTGCTCAATTAAGAACAGCAGAATTTGGCCCATTGCCAACATCTCAGCACCCAGAGTGACAATAAAAAAAACCAACAGGAGGAGCATAATCTGCATATAAGTGATGTATTAGGACACCTGGGTTCTGGTCTCACCTCTGCCACTGACTTGCTTGGGCAAGCCACTTAACTTCTCTGTTCTTCATCTATCTCATCTGTAAACGAAAGAAAATACGTTCTGCTCCTTCATTATAGCTCTGTGAGGTTTGTGAATGAAAAAACACTGTATACACGCAGAGTAGTTTTATTACTATTATTATTTCTAATTAATATCATAAAACAGTGTGTGCGCTCATTGACGAAAAAATATCTTCTGGGAAGAAGCATCTTGATTTCAACTTTTTAAAGGTTCATTACTGACACCACTTGGAAGTAAAGAATGATGTTTAAAATACTGAAAATGTCGTGATAATGTCCTTTTAAAATATTCTTTAAGGCTGCTTCTTATTTAAGTTATCCAAGAATTCTTGCTTTGCTTATGGAAGTGGGAAAATTTGCTGCAAGTCTGTCCACCAACAAAAATGTTATGGGCTACTGTGAATCACAGTAGTCAGGAATATTTTCTCTGTTTTAAAAAGTATCTGTATTTTGTTGTTGTTGTCTTAATTTAATGAAATAATTGGCCAGAGCACAACCTCCAGGGGAAGACTCATTAGTGTATAAGTAAATTAGACAATAAGTGTGAAAGATGACGTATGTTTTGCTGCTTTTGTCCCCTGTAGGTGTGGACGAGCACTCACTTGACAGCTCTCCTGTACTGGATGACAGATCGGCACTTTACTCTGGAGTTCACAAGAAGCAATTCTACTTAGATGGCTCTTCTGAAAAGCAGCCTGAGGATGACTTGGACTCATTCACCACTTCTCCTTCATCCAGCAGCCTAGATACTTGGGGTGCTAATAGGAAGCTGGTTAAGACCGTCAGCAAAACTGATAGCCGTGGCCTTATTAAGCCCCCCAAGAAGCTGGGGACATTTTTTTCTTACCCAGAAGAGGAGAAGACCCAGAAGGTTTGCCGCTCTTTGACAGAGGGGGAGATGAAGAAGGGCCTTGGCTCCCTGAGCCATGGGGTAAGTACTGAAAGTATTTGCTTTTATGACAGAAACAGGCACAAGCACCATCTCCTGGTGTCCCTGGAGGAGGTTCAGAGTGTCAGGAAGCAGATCCGATTGAAGAAAATGGATACTAACTATTCCTGTTCCAGAGCTTTTCTCTGCCAGCGTCCTGCCAGGAAAGGAGCATCCCCTGCAACTTGTGACCTACAATTGCTCCGGCACAAAGCCAAAGGGGGAGGAGGTTGTGGTTTCCCAAACAGAAGGCTTCGAGGGCGCACCTCTGTCAGTGAGTTCAATATCACCTACGTGGTGGAGAGAAGCCTGTACAGTCACCTCAACTTATCACAGCTGGTGCGTCCCGTCACTGACAGGACCCTGAGCAAGGCAGACAAGCAGGACCTGCGGAGATGCCTGCTGGATGAGGATGAGGAGGCCAAACGGAAGTGGGCCGCCACAGTGGACCGTTGTACTAAAAGGGTTCTCTTGAGAATCCACCAAAAGTCTGTGAGTCAAAGAGCTATCATGAAGGTGGCCTTCCAGTTCCTGTGAGGTTGCAGTCAGCATTGTTTCTGCTTTCTATCCCAACCTGTAAACTTAAGTACAGTGTTTTTCCCCCTCTCATTTGCCAATAGAAGTTGTTAAATGCAAAACTGAGCTGTGGGGACAGGGGCCGTTCTAGTCCCCAGTGAAGAAATTGGTATAATCCCTTTCAGTATAGAAAGAATAGAGCGTTGTCAAGTTTGCGGTTCCCATGTGCATGGAGTGACTCAATGGGAAAGAGCAAATTTTACCACAAAAAGCTTCTTTTAACCTGCTCTAATTCAGAAACTGAGATTTTGGTGAAAAGAGAAGCAATGTGAAAAAAAAATTCTGCTGTTTCAGAAATCAGTTCAGCATTCTTTAAAAGGAAATATTGTAGGAAATCTTTCAGATGGAGGGAAGACAGAGTAAAATCTGCTTGTTTCCTTCTATCATCCGTCCTGCTCTCATCCCAGCTCTTCCCCCTCAGTTTTCCTCTCAATTGCTAACATAGTGCACTCCAGCTCTGTAGCCTTCCTCCCCACATACACAGCACTCAGAGAGGTAGAGGGCTTTGTTATCTACATGCCTGCTTTCCTCCCCAGCTTCTCTCTCCAGCATAGAACCTCTCTGGGTCACTTCTGCACTGCCCCTGGCTGCTGCTCCTGCTCCCTAGCATGCGATGGAGGTGAGACCTGGGAAGTTGGGATACAGGGAAGAGAGAAGGGTAGCCAGCAGAGGAGTCGATGTTCCTGTATAGTAGGAGATCTGGTAGGTTAAGGTCTACTCAGGATTCCAACCTAGTCCCTCTTCTTCCTGGTCACAAAAGCCTATCTTTGCCACAGTTCCCACTACCAGCCTTTTGAATCCACTGGAAACTTGACATCAGGACTGGCCAGAGTCCCAAGTGTTATACCATCTAGACTGCTGTCCTGACAATGCAGATTTTTTCTCTACTTAGGTTGAAGGGAAGGATGATTGATAATGTCTATACCCATAAGATTTAACAAGATATTTAACAAGACATTACAGAGAAAATACTGTTTCTCACAAATTTTAGATTTTAGAATATCTTTAGGAGGCCTCCACATAAGCTTAATTTTTTAGGATGTGGTTTGTTCTCGATGTGAGAGTTATAGTCACATCCTTGATCTCTCCAACTAATTGTCAATCACCAGTAGTAGCTTGACCCTTGGTTGGTGTTCATACTTGTGTAACGCCGACAGGCCCTGGTCATTGGTAGGTGGGATCGAACCTGGGACCTCTGAAGCTTAGTGATGAGCCTCTACTGCATGAGCTAAAAGGCATATAGCTCTTAGCTAAGGGTGTAGCAGACTCATCAATCTCTAGCTGGGCTAGGTGCCACTAGAGGGGACAGAGCACCACACCAAGCAGGCATGGGTTACATACTTCCCCTAGCTGAGGAAGTGCATACCAAGCTTCAGAGACTTCCCAGTTGATATCCCAGACGAGCTCCCACTTGTAACACTGACAGACCTGTGTCGTTGGCGGGCAGGATGGAACCTGGGACCTCTGAAGCTTACTGTATTACTCCTGGAGGAATACTGTGCCAAAAAATTAAAAATTCTGTGCATGATATTTTAAAATACTGCATGTTTTGTTTGTCAGAATAGCACAATATAATCACGCCAGTTTCAATTATCTTGGTAATTTATTTCAAAATACCTGTCAACAAGTATGTTTGTAACAATACAGACGAAAAAAAGATTTGGGTAATTTTTTTGATAAATAGATTCCTTACCAGGTTTATTAACACAGAACTTTGAGTAATAATTTATTTAAACTGGTGGTTCTCAACCAGGGGTACATGTACCCCTGGCGGTACTCGGAGGTCTTCCAGGGGGTACATCAACTCATCTAGATATTTGCCTAGTTTTGCAATAGGCTACATAAAAAGCACTAGTGAAGTCAGTACAAACTAAAATTTTATACAGAAATGACTTTTTACTGCTCTATATACTATACGTGAAAATGTAAGTACAATATTTCTATTCCAATTGATTTATAAGTATATGGTAAAAATAAGAAAGTAAGCAATATTTCAGTAATAGTGTGCTGTGACACTTTTGTATTTTTATGTCTGATCTTGTAAGCAAGTAGCTTTTGAGCGGTGAAACTTGTGGGCACACAAGACAAATCAGACTCCTGAAAGAGATACAATAGTGTGGAAAGGTTGAGAACCACTGATTTAAACTACAATACAGCAACTTATTTCCTGCAGCCCTCAGAAGCAGTGCAAAGGCTTGGGGAAGTCAGGGATAATGGAGGAGCTGAGGGAGAGGGAAGGAGTCTGGGAGTGAACTTGGAGGGCTGTTGGGTGTGGGTGGGAGAAGCATGGAACAGGTTTTTTGAGGGCACATCTACCCCTGTCCCCATGTGGCCCTGCATCCCCCATCCCTGTGTGGGCCTACAGCCCTCCATCCCCATGTGGCCCTGCAGCCCCCAGCTCAATGCTGTCACCCTACTAGCTCCTGAACCCACACACCAGTCTATCCTCCTACTAGCCCTTCTGAACCTCAGTCTAAGACCCTCCTAGCAGCCCCAAGTGCCCCACTCTTCCTAACCTGACATGGCTTTTAGCTAAGATTGTAGCAGTGTCATTAATCTCTAGATGGTCGAGGTGCCACCAGAGGGGAACAGAGCACCACACCCAGCAGGCATGTGTTACACTTGCATTTGGTTGATGGCCACTGTGGTAATACTTTATTTTGACCCAGTACAATTAACAGTTTCTCCTGACTTCCATTAGTGCTTCTGTGTAGACTAGCTGACCCATCACTGATACTGTCATGCTACTTCCAGAAATAGTGTTCTCGAATAATATTATTTTATGTAATGACATTTCAGTTGATTGTACCAGATACCTGAAACACCCCTCTGCAGGTTGAATACTTGTAGGGCATATGCAGACTGACAAGATCCACTAGTTCTTCATATCTTCTAAAGAAGTACCACAATTATGCATTAGAAATGCCCTTTGATGTTCTCTTCTTGTAAATACAGATGCCATCTCCAAAAGGAAGCTGTTTAATCATTTAAAAACGTGTGAGTAGTCTCAGTTTGGAAGTCTCATTATGGAACTCATTAGCTTGTTCACATCGATAAAATTAGAGAAGAAAAGGAGAACACTTCTTTCTTTTTCTTTTTTTTATTTTTGGAGTGGACTTTCTAATCAATTAGCTTTAAAGAAACTTCTTTTTAAAACAGCAGAAACCTGATAAGATTCTCATGACCTTCAAGCACCTCCAATCCTTCTTCCTAAAATTGTAACGCTTGCTGCAACCTCAGGGAAATTGTAATGCCTTTGTATTCAGTGGAAGTGGTCACAGTCTTGTCTTGCCATTTGTTTTTGTCATTTATATTTGTTTCAGTGACCTAGGCATGCTTGAAATTTTTGAATCACATCAGTTTTTCATTCCTCCCAATATCCTAATATGTTGGGGGGGTTTGATTGCATGACCATTCCATTGAATATCCCTCTTTTCATCCACAGACTTTTTGTTTGGTACAGTTTTACCAGAAATGATCAAAGTGCTATGAAAGGGCACGGTAAAGGTTACAGATTTACAAGGACTTTCTTCTCTGAGAAGATTGCTACAAGAGCTACTCTGGCTAGCTTAAAAGACATTGGCTGAGAACAATTCCTTAAGTTCTGTTACACTGTCCTCTCTTCAGTGTTAGGTTATCTGTGCAAGGTGGTATTAGTTAGAATGTGCCTGGCACGGAAGGTCCCAGTTATGTGGTTAAAACAGGAACGGGCAAAGTTTAAGGCCTGAGGGCCACATTGGGGAATAGAAATTGTATGGCGGGCCATGAATGCTCACAACATTGGGGTTGGGTTGCGGGAGGGGGCGAGGGCTCTGGGGTGAGGCTGGGGATGAGGAGTTTGGGGTGTAGGAGGGTGCTCTGGGCTGGGACCAAGGGGTTCGGAGGGTGGGAGGGGGATCAGGGCTGGAGGAGAGGTGTGAGAAGGGGTGCAGGTTCTGGCTGGGGGTGCGGGCTCTGCAGTGGGTCTGGGGATGAGGAGTTTGGGGTGCGGGAGGGTGCTCCAGGCTCGGATCGAAGGGTTTGGAGAGCGGGAGGGGGATCAGGGCTGGGGAAGAGGGTAGGGCTGTGGGGAGAGGCTCAGGGGTGTAGGCTCTGACAGATGCTTACCTCAAGCAGCTCCCGGAAGCAGTGGCATGTCCCTTCTCTGGCTCCTATGCATGGAGCGCCCCCGACCCTGCGCCCCGGAGCGGGGCCATGCCAAGGTGACCCGGCACCCCAGCTGGAGCACCGGAGCAGGACTAAGCCGCATGGTGCAGCCCCCGACCCGGCGCCCTGGCTGAAGCGCTGGAGTGGGGCAAGCCCCAGACCCCGCTCCCCAGCAGGAGCTCGTGGGCCGGCTTAAAACGGCTCATGGACCAGATCCAGCCCTCGGGCTGTAGTTTTCCCACCCCGGGTTAAAAAGTGCTTTGTATAAAACATAGATCTTAATGGTGGTGTTTGCTGGTGTGGCTAGCGTATCACTTTTTATAAACAGTGCTTGAAAACCATTCTCAAGGCTAGGTTGTGAGTTCATCTTGACCAGTGTGACTAAGTCATTTGTTCTCAACCTTTTTCACACACCTGTCCCTAGGTGGCCTCTCACCATGCCTCAGTACAGTTGCTGTCATCTCTTTTCCTGTCCATATTCTTTCTGCTCACTCTCCTTTTTTTCTTCGCTCTTTTTTTTCTGCTCGTCTCTTTTCTCTTCTCTTTGTTTTTCTTGTGTGTTGTAGATGTTGCTCTCTTGTTTGCAGTTCCCTCTTCCTCCTCCCAACTCAGCAGAAGGCTGTGGGCTTCTTGGAGTAGGAGTGTTCGTTAAAGGAGGTTCCATGAAGCGGGATCTCACATGTTCTTGCATCTGAGTGCCATGGGAGCAGAGGAGCAAAGGCTTGGCCCTCTGGGCTTATATCTGAGCCTGTAGCCCTGCTCTTGTGGCCAGCTTCCTTAAGTGCCACTGAATGTGCAGGGAGAGAAAGCTGATAGCTTTCAAGAGACACATGCTGCTTTACCCATAGCCAACTTTGACAGGTTCAAGGTCATGCAACTTTCTTCATCCCCATGTTTGTTGTTCTGCTTTGTCCCACCCCACCTGATTAGAAATGAATGTGGTAGAACAAAGGTTTGTTCTGAAAGGACCAATTAATGTAATTGTTCATTGGGGGCTGTAATTTGTGGGTCTTGTTCCCACAAATCACAGTCTCCAGGCTTTTCATTGAGTAGCTCTCAGCTGATAGGTGTTACCTATCTTCAGGCCTATCAACCACTCGTGGATGTTAGTTAGGCAAATCTGAAGAACTAAGAACCTGATCTAATGCCATTGATGTCACTAGAAATCTCTCAATTGATTTCATTATGTGTTGGATCAAACCCTAAAAATGCACAGCAATGTTCTTCAGGTATTTCCCCATCCCTTTATGTCTTCTATAAAGAGATCACTTAAAACAGAGAACTACCTGTCTGTAAATCAACTACCGAACCTCACCATTGATACAAATAAATACTGATTGCTGCATCCTTGTTTCCCTGGGGTGTCTCATGGGGTTATTGTCAGTGAAAAGAATCTAAAAACACAGTCATTGGAACAGAGCAAGGTCACTACAGTACTGTGCCCCAATTTTTGAGGCGGGGAAACTGTTTTAACAGTTTGACCTTCTTGTATTGAAAGGCAGTAGTTGTATTCCCACTGAGTTCAAAGAAGCTAGTCCTCTTCCAACTGATACAAGAGCTTTAGAACAGGCCCGTCAGCCAGAGCTGAACACTTTGTTTCTTGCTGTGGAAGTGTGGCTTTACTTAGTATGATTGGTTGCTCTGTGGCTTTGTGCTCTTGGGTGGGAACTGGTGTCATAGTGCTGATGTTTTTAGGCAGGGAGATTATCATCAACAATATCAGAGTTTTTGGCCAGGTCTGAGGAGCAGTGAGTGAGTCACTCCACTGGACTAATCGTGCCATTATAAATATGACCTACTTTCTCTCCCAGCGGGTGATAAAGCTACTTTGTACCACCAAGGAGGTGGTGAGAGATGCCTAAACTGGAGTCATTGCTTTTGAAGAATAAAACCCCTGGTGGCATATCCCTTTTGGACAGCTGGACTGGGGTTATGTTCCCTTCCACCCCCAGGGCTTGATTATGCAAGGTGATTAGCTCATCCGTTGATTTCAGTGGAAGTTGAGGGTGTTCAGCTACTCCCAGGAGGTGCTCACTCAACACCTCGCAGGATTGAGGCCCCTGACTATACGGATACTACTTTGGACTAGTATAGGAGAGGAGGCTGGAATGAGGTTGCCAGAAAGTTGGAAGGCTTACTGCATAAAATGAGTGGACAGTTTTCTCAATTTCTCATCCTTTTTTCCATTTCCATCTTTTCAACACATTTGTGTTTTCAGTGATTTTCTCCAAATGGGGGAAGATGCTTGAGTGAGTTAATTGTTTGTAATGTGATTGTTTCTGTACTAATACTGTCCTTTCCACAGAGAACCTGTAGCTTTGGAGGATTTGACTTGACAAATCGTTCATTGCACGTTGGAAACAACAACAACTCTGACCAAACGGTGAGTACGAGATAGGAAGGGCTGGATCTGAACTAGCAGGAGGCTCCTCATGTATGGTACTATGAAATGCTCCTTGGTAGAGTTAAATGTAGTCTAGTTCTATAATAGCAGTTTTGGGATCCAAGTAAGCAGCCCAGAGAGCACAATTTTTTTAACCACCAATTGCATTGGTTTCTCAGCTTTGTGACAACCATACACTGTGTGTGTTTATTTATATGCTGTACGTGAGAAGTAGTGTGATTAGGTGGTTGCAGCACAGGACTAGGGGTCAGATCTCTGTTCTATTCCTAGCTAAGTCATTGACTTACTGCATCACCTCAAGCAAGTTGAGTGATATCTGTGCTTCACCACAGATGGAAAAACATCTAGCCCCAACCACTGGAAAAAAACCCAAAACAAAACTGAGTTGTGTGGCAACCCAGCGAGGCAGTTCGCAATGCCACTTGCTCCAGTTTTGCCCAGCCACCTTCTGTGAGGGGTGGCCGGACCAAACCTGAGCATTGCAGGGTGGCTGGAGTTGGGAGGAGTCACCCTAGCCTGAAATGGGAGCAGAGCACTGAGCTGGAGGGGCATCTGTAAATAACCAGGCTGCAGCTGTGCTGCTCGGCCCCACCCCCCAGAGCAGGCTGTGGCTGCACCGCCCGACCCAGCCCGCTGGAACATGCTGTGGCCGCGCTGCCCGGTCTGGCCCACCGGAGCAGGCTGCGGCCGCACTGCCCAGCCTGCCGGAGCAGCTCCAGCCAGGCCAGAGACATCCTCCCCTGGCTCTCTCTAGATAAGGTGGGAAGGGATGGGATGGGGAGAGTGTGGGAGCTAGGGGTGGGGTCATGTGGGGGGTGGTCACAGGGGTTACTCCCCTGACCCCCAGCTTCCCCCCCCCCCAAAAAAAAATTTCCCCACCAGTTGCTGTCCTGGCCCGTCAGGGTAAGCAGCTGGCGCGCCGGGACACTTTGTTTACTTAGGTTTACCTCCATGCCTGCGGACGCTCGAAGTAAACAAACCATCTCGGCCCGCCAGCAGCTTATCCTGATGGCCCGGGAGCCAAAGTTTGCTGACCCCTGAATTATAGGGTCAGCTTATGAACGAGTCATAAAATTTTTCCATTTTTACTTATCCATCTTGGCGGGGGGGAGGGAGAGGGGGTCGGCTTATAAACAAACCAGCTTATGATGGAGTATTTACGGTATTTCCTTTTGGTTGCAGACTTCACAACAGCAACTTTTGGATCAAAGTAATACATTTGACAGTTTATTTTTTTATACCAAAAATAGCATCAAGAGGCTGGGGGGAGGACTGTCAACTTCAGTAACAACAGGCACTTCTATAGTCACTTCCATCCAGATATCTCAAACCCTTTCACAGACACCAATGAGTGAAGGCCTAAAACATTGTTGTGTGCATTTTATAGATGAAGCACTGGACCCAGATTAAAGAATTTGGGGGCCCTGTGACTATGAAAATTGGGCTCCCCACCTCACATAGACCCCTGAATGCCCCTCCTCCCTACCCCACTCAGACCCCTGAATGCCCCTCCTACTCCACTTACCCCCCAAATTCCCCCTACTCCACATATACCCCAACAACGCTCTACCAGCCCCACTTTTCATGACAGCCCCCACACACATCCCACTCACTGCGGCCCCAACCCCTCCGCCCCATCTACAGCAGTCCCCAACATCTCCGCCCCCAACCTCACAACCCCTCCAACATTCCCAACTTTTCCACAGCCCTCACCCCACAGCCCCCCAAGAACTCTCACCCACTGCCATTTACAGGCTGCAGCTGCTTCGGAGGCTGGGGGGAGAGCAGCGTGCCCAGAAGCGGAGAGACTCTGGTCCCACCTCTTCCCTTCTGGCTGTGCTGCCTCTCCTTGCTCCCTCTGTTGGGGGGAGGGGCTGTGTCCCACCTCTCCCTCTCTATACCCGTTCATAAGCTGACCCCCTTCTCTGGTGCTTCCCTTTTTTACTAAAAAAATTCAGCTTATGAACAAGTATATACGGTATATTATAAATATTGATCAGCTCACTGTACCATTTTTCCCCCTCAAGAACAACTTTTACTATTTTAGCCTTGGTGTCTGCCAGTTCTTTTATCAAGTAGCTTAGATCAAATCTAAGTAATAAAACAACTTATTGCCAGCATGTCTGATAATGAGGAGGGATTAGTTTCCTTGGGACTAGAGAAATCGGTACACCGTGATTTTCTTCCTTACACTTAGTTGATAAGCACATGATGTATATCTTTTAGCTAGTATCTTTAAATTAGTTTGCAATGTTTTGTTCAGGTTACCTTTTGATCTGGGAAACTGAAATCTAGATGTTATGCTTTCCCATTTCACCAGCAGTGAGAAAGATACGGTATACGAGACTAATGCATGCAGATCAAGTCTCTAATTGCATTAGTTTAATGTCTTTTCAGAACTCACAAGACAAAAGGTTATCTTTAACTTGATGAAAAGAAGCAATAAAGTTATCAATGAGGTTATCTTTGCAAAGGGAAAGGAAGGTAGAGTTGGTGACTGTCAAATTTCACAATGGTTTTTAGAAGAGAGAGGGAGAGGGTTTTTTAACTAGACTAGCTTTGTTTGGGGGTTTGCATGTATGTTGTCTTTGGTTTTTGTAATGATAACCTTTTTTCTAAAAAAAAAAATATATAATTCTTGTGGAAAATTCAGTTATCCTCCTGAAGGGTTATTGCACCATATTGGAGACTAAATTCAACCATTAAAGTGTGAAATGGGTTTTTGTCCTGCTTGCAGTGCAAATCTCAATGCAGTCTTGGCTACATAGGTGCTACTAGTGCCTCTCTAACAGAGTTGTATTATAATATGTATTTTGGAAGCCATATGAAGAAATATTATGCTTTACAGACAGATTGTGCAATCAGTGCAGCCACTTAACCTGTGTGGTGGATGCAGCAACTGTTTTAAACTATAGCAAACCTACACAACAGTTTAGAAGAGAGAGTGCAGCTTATCCTAGTAAGTATTTGGATAGGATCACATGGTTAGCAATGCCTACTCTTGTGTAAAAGGGGTAGAGGATCTTTACTGACCAAGCAACAGATTTTGTGTTGTATCAGAAGATAGTGTTGCCTAACAGCTTGAATGTTCAATAGTAACTCAAAGTGGGAGGAACGCCCTCTACTGAATCCCCATCCTCTAGGGCAGCAAACAGGTTCTTATAATCAGGTCTGAGAAGCAGGAAGAGTAGATGAGAATGCTACAGTAGTTTATGCACTGGGTTTATTCTCAAGGCCAGGAAAGAGAATGTTTTCATGTTGAAGCTGAGAGCAGTGAACCAAACACCATGTCACCCCGGATACCTTTTGCACCGAGCGCTGTAGTGAGATATAACAGGCAGGCAGCATGTCAAGAATTTGCTCTTGTATTTTATTTTATAGACATAACCCCCTATTTTATTTTGCAGGGCAAAGAAGGAGACTTCATTTATAAAGAAGTGATCAAGTCGCCCTCTGCCTCCCGTATATCTCTTGGCAAAAAGGTGAAGTCTGTAAAAGAAACCATGAAGAAAAGGATGTCTAAAAAATATAGCAGCTCTCTGTCAGAGCAGGTATGTAATGCTCAGAATGGACTATACTTGCTAGGATAAAAACTATAGGGGATATTGATCCTCATGCTTCAAGGTATCTCCCAAAGGCCCATCGAGGTCAGGAAGAAATTTTTCTGTATGACTGTGTGATACAGCAATTCCTGTGTTCTTCTAAAACCCCTCACTTTGAAATGTCTTTTATAGAAACCTAATCATGACAATGCAATCTCAGATCTCCTTCTAGGTGACTGTTCAACAGAGGGAGATGACTGACAATTTTACACACCCTGTGTCGTATTCCATCTCTATCATTTTATTTATTATTTCTTTGGATTTCTACAGTGATAAAAAGAGCACTGGCTCCTTATACAAGTTCAAAAAACTAAAATTAAAATGCAGCTGACACCCTAAACTGAACTCCCTATAAAACTCAACATATACATTTCCCCTCTCCTATGCAGAGCTAACCTCCATCCTTTGGGGTGAGGGATAGCTCAGTGGTTTGAGCAATGGCCTGCTAAACCTAGGGTTGTGAGTTCAATCCTTGAGGGGGCCACTTAGGGATCTGGGGCAAAATCAGTACTTGGTCATGCTAATGAAGGCAGGGGGCTGGACTCAATGACCTTTTGGGGTCACTTCTAGTTCTATGAGATAGGTATATCTCCATTTATTATTATTATTTTATTATTTCCACTCCCTCTGCAGCAGCCTATGAAAATAGGTACACCTCATATCTATTTCTATCATTGCTTCATCACAGATTTGTACAGTTCATTCTTAAAAGCAACCATAAGTGCATGCAGTTGTAAAGCTGTGCTTTGAATTTACTCTGGCCAAAGTAAATCTCTCTCCGAGAAAATCTCTTTTGGCAGACTTCATGTTCTTTGGTTTGGTGGATTGTCAAAGCATCTAATGAACTAAAAAAAAATAAATCAGTCTTTCTATCTGAAATGTGTAAGTAATTGCTTACAAAACAGCTGGGAAAGCAAAATTTTCTCTAATAAATATTACCCTCTAGTGGCCATTTAATAATCAGCAGCAAATTAGCATATCCTTGCAGTGTCAGAAAGCTGGAGCATGCTATCTGGTGGACAGGAACAAATATACCATCATAGTATCCATTTATCAGGAGTCCTCTGGTGAGACCTCTTGGGACAGTTTGGCTACATACTTCCAGCCGTTATTTTCCTCTTGTCATTCACTGAACAGTACTCCGCATTGCTGTTGAGGGTCCGGTTCTAAATATGAGATGGGTATATCTCTTCAGGGCAGGAACTTTCTCTTTGGTATATGATTGTGCAGTGCCTAGTACAGTGGGGCTGGGACTTTTAGGTGCAATTACAGTTCAAATTAATAATTATAATTGTGGATGTTTGCCCCCAAATGAAGTGATCCATATTTCTCTTCCCTGAAGCAGACTGATCCCAGGCTAATGCAAGTGACATCTATCAAGTCATAATTTTAACTGCCCTGGTAAATTTGGACCTGCAGCACCAGAATAAAGTGACCAACTATCACACTCATTTAATTCTTGCAGACTTTGGAGAGGAATTTAACAGCTAGCCAATACAATTTTGAAATAATTTTTCTTGAAAACTTATTAGAAAGAAACATCAAGAAAGGGAGATTTGGGGTGGGTTTTTTGCCCTCTTTCTCCCTTGTGCTTTATAGGCTGGAGAAGAGCACGTTGCTGTGTGTCTCATCCCAATGAACTATAGCCTGGTTTACTTTAGGAGGAAGTAGCACTGCCTGGCAGTCTTCCCACCTAGTGCCTTTTGAACTCCCTGAGAATGGGCTACCTGATGCTGTTAAAGAGAAGGGATGAGTGTTAGGCTGCACACACCCCAGAAGAAAGCAATGGTAAGGTTTAAGGTGCCAGGTGGAGCTGCAGAACCAATACTGCTGAACAGAGTTATTTCATTGGTCATCCCTGTAATGGATATCATCCATCACTTCACGCACAGACATGGCTGCCTTGCTCAAGCCCATGCTGCTAGCCTGGAACTTTCATTTTCGATTGTAAACTCTTTGGGGCAGGGACTATTGTTTGTTCTGTTTGTGTAGCAGCCGAAGTCTTGGCTGACACACAAGGTAACAACCTCCAGAGCTAAAAGCCTGAGCTAAAGAGACACAGCTGGTTAGCTGGGACTGTACCAACTCATACTGTTTGCGAATCGCTGAGGGGAAAGGGCGCCTTGTAATGCACACTCACCAGTGAGTTACATTAGAACAGTGCCCAGCACAATGGGGCCCAACCCAGATGAGGCCTTGAGGCACTACCATCATATAAATGTTAATAATAATAATTAATATATTTTTTAAAATAACTAAATCATATTCAAAATAATGACAAACTGAGTTGTTCTATCACTAAATTTTTTTAAAACACAGCATGTGGTGTCATCCTCAATCATGTGCAGTGTGGCTCACAGGTGGAATCCCCTTCCTAAGTATGTACGCAGCCACGTTGGTTCATAAATAGGATCTATGCTGATGATACTTTTTTTTTAATTGTTCATTTCAAATGGGCAATTCAATTAAGAAATAATAAGCTGCAACAAACATCACATTTCCTCCTGTATTATGGAACTTTAAAGATAAGATGTTTAGGCCAAACAACCCTTTGGATATTCTACTTAGGAATGAGATAAATCTGAAAAACTGTGTGCACATTGGGTTAGCGATCTGCTTCTGCTCTTTTGCTTTCTCTGGAGATTCGCTTGACCTGTAGAGTCATATGCTGGGGAGATATTTCCTGATGATTCTGCAGCATGTAAATAATAGGTTTCATTCAGATGGTTTCGTGACCACACGTCTGTGAAAATGCAAACTATTCTGTATATCAGCAGGGTTGGTTTTTTTTTTTTTTTAAATGTTGTACCATCTATCTTTGTGGCATCATTTCTCAAGCTAAGTGCCTCTGTGCTGCCAGCATGTGTTCAAAAACACGCAAATGCTGCTCTGCCTGCAAATAGCTACCAGAAATGGAAATGATTGCTTTAGCCATTCTTCCGATAGGCTGTCACAATTTCAAAATGGATAAGATGCTTTTGGATTGTCTATAATGCATGAAGGAATGAACACAGAAATATGTGTCTAAGCATCTTTGCTTTTGTTTATAATTTCTTTGTGCCTGGGTTGCATCTTCTAGTTAATTGTTTTCTCCTTCATGTACACAAAAAATAGCAGTAATTTGTTGCAAGAAGTTTAAAATTTCCATTTCTGTGTCTGTCTGCAGTCTTGTTGTATCTCTATTGGTCCCAGAATATTAGCAAGACAAGATGGGTGAGGTAATATCTTTTACTGGACCAACTCTATTGGTGAAAGAGACAAGCTATCAAGTTCCATAGAGCTGCTCTTCATATTACCTCACCCATCTTGTCATTTCTGTTTGATTTACACGGTGCTACTTATTTTTGCTTATATTATGCAAATGCCTGATTGGGAAAGTTGCTATGGGCTTTTAACTGCTTGTCAAACGTTCTCACTAAAAATATTTAGTGTCTTAATTTTTCATCTCTAAACTGGGAGTTTTGTGTGAAGGATAAACTTTCTCTGCTGGGTTTTTAAACACCTAACAATGCATAAAGTAAAAGTTTAGTTTGGGATTTTAAAAATACTATACAAAATGGTTGCCTAAATTGTAATACATCAGAGAGAGAGAGAGAGAGCACGCAAACCAATGAACTTGGGGAGGAAGGATGGTTTTGTGATTAAGGCACTGGACCAGGATTCAGGAGTTTCCATTCCCAGCTCTGCCACAGACTTTGTGTGACCTTGGGCAAGTTATTTAATTTCTGTTTCCCCATCTATAAAATGGGGATAATGCCCCCTTTCTTTCACCTTTTTTTGTCTTGTCTGTTCAGATTGTAAGTTGCCTGGGGTAGGGACTGTCTCCTATTATGTGTTTATACAGAGCCTAGCACAGTGGGTCCCCGACTTCCATTGCGTCCCCTAGACCTGACCATAATGCAAACAATAAATAAATCATAATGACTTCTGTCCTTGCTGGTAACATGTAGTAGAATATGTACTAAGTTTTCTCCTTAAGATACATGCAAGCAGTACCTGCCATCTTCCATGGGAATCTGCCAATCTGAAATGGGTTCAAATCTCTTTCAGGACTCCAGCCCTGATGTAATGCCAGGTTCTCCGCAGTCACCACAGCCAGAGACTGATTCTCTGGATAAGCCCAAACTGAAAGCTGGTGGTTCAGTAGAAAGCCTGAGGAGCTCCTTAAGTGGTCAGAGCTCAATGAGTAAGTTCAATTATAATTACATCATTTTGTTGTTGTTGTTGCAGGGCACAGAGATTTCCACAGTAAATAAAATGAAGTTCTTACTAGCATTTTCGTGTTTGCCTCTCATCTCTGACAGTGGCTGAAATGAATTGGTGTTGCTGAGCCCTTCTCACAAGCATATTTTTTGTAAGCTGTTACTCTGGTTCCCACACACAGGTGGTCAGACAGTGAGCACGACAGATTCCTCAGCCAGCAACCGGGAGAGTGTCAAGTCTGAAGATGGTGATGATGAAGAGCCTCCCTATAGGGGACCTTTTTGTGGACGAGCCAGGGTTCACACTGATTTTACACCCAGCCCTTATGATACTGACTCCCTGAAACTTAAGGTACCAGTTTTCTTCTTGGATCAAATGACATATGCTACTCAGGCAAAACTCCCACTGAAAAGTCAGTAAGAGCTTAGCCTGAGGAAGGCTAACAGTACTTAGTCCCTTATTTAGCTGAGGTTGTGCTCCCTGCATTTCCATTACCTGTCTCTTTCTGGTATTGCAATGTGCTCTTAGGAGTTGTTTGGGTGATAAAATATAGGTGAGTAGTTCTTAGTATTTTCCAAAATCCAAGCAAACATGCTTTAAAATACCAGAGAGGCAGGCAAAGAAGGGAATGGAGAGGTATGTGTGAAGGGAGTTGGGGAGTTAACTACTGTGGAACTGAAAATATATGCTGTAAATTTACTCCCACTCTACATGGATTTGAAAAATCAATTTTCAGAGATTTTCTTTTCTAGTAACAGGCAAGCAGAAGAACTCAGCAGAATCAGGCCAGGGTTGTTAATTCCTGATAAAGTAAATATTCTGAGCCAGATCTGTGGCTGCTGTCAAGGACAAGCCTTGTGGGGAAAGGGCTGCAAAGATAGTATAAAGTTCACTTTTGCACACTTCCAACACTGGGTGCCCTATGTCTAGGTGGCCACCTACACTGCCAGAGCTAGTCCACCTGCACCAAACTAGAACAGAGTCTATTCTAATTTGCACTAGCTACGAACAGTCCCACAGAGCTGAAACAGCAACTGCAGATAGACACAGAGTAGGAGTAGTATCTTGTGGTACTGTCTCTTTAGAATTAGTCATGAATAATCACCAGAGTGCCTCCCATTATAAGTGATCACTCACATAATGCAGTCACACTCAGGATCTGTGTGCTCAGAGTCTGTAGGAGCCATCTTGTCATGTAACTAATAAAGAGAAGTGTGGTTTAAACTTCATATCACTGGCTTGACTCTGGTTCCTGAAACACAAAGACTGCAGTACATTCACAAGGAAGATGCTCTCAGCTGCCTGACCATGTTAAAAAGCAAGACAGTGGAGAGCACCAGCAACGATCCATAGATAACTGAGAACTGCTGGTGTAAGTGTGAACTCCTGGGAACTATTCCAGGATCTGTGACTAACTTACTGTATGATCTTGGACAAGTCACTTAGGGCTGGTCTACACTGAAAACTTACATCAGCATAGCTACATGTTGGGGTGTGAAAATCCACACACCTGAGAGATGTAGCTATACTGACCTAACCCCTGGTGTAGACAACAATAGGTTGATGGAAAAATTATTCTGTTGACCTAGCTACTGCATCTCGGGGAAGTGGATTAACTACGGTGATGGAAGAACCCTTTCCATTGCTATAGTAAGTGTCTGCACTGAAGCACTACAGCAGCGCAACTGCAGCTGTGCCACTGCAGCTTTTTTAATGTAGACATAGCCTGAGTCTCTGTTTGCCTCTTTCCCCCTCTGTAAAATGGGTGTAATAATACACACCTCACAAGTGTATGTGATTGATTCATGTTTGCAAATCCCCCTGAGGTCTTCAGATTCTGTGTAAATGGAAAAACAGAGTGAGGATAGTGAGTTTGCCTGAATATTGATAGGAATTATGTGCCTAACTGTCCCATTCTTTCTTGTTGGGCCTTCAGAAAGGTGATATCATTGATATAATCAGCAAACCTCCCATGGGCACTTGGATGGGCCTGTTGAACAATAAAGTGGGCACTTTCAAATTTATCTATGTGGACGTGTTAAATGAGGAGGAAGAGAAACCAAAGCGGCCCACAAGGAGACGACGGAAAGGAAGACCACCTCAGCCCAAGTCTGTCGAGGATCTCCTTGATCGTATCAATTTAAAGGTTAGTTCCCATTCTCTCTCTTGATACAATTTTGCTATGGGAAGGGGGCGTGCTGTTGAGTTAATTAAGTTTTTAAGGGCTACACAGTAAGGTCCTAATCCTGCACCCACTGGAACTTTCACCATTTATGTAATAGAAGCAGAATTGGCTCTTAATTTACAGAGGGGATGTAGCTGATGTATAGAACAAGTAACATCCAGTGTAATGGACTGCTGAAGGGTTCAATTACATACATGCCAGGATCCTAATTCATTCCATAGATTGGCAGTGAGATCGAGTACAACGACAAAAAACCTAGTGTGACGTTGTGCAGTCTATATGGTTTTATAAAAATATAAGTGAATATAATGTAACTGGGATATGCTTCATGCAAAAGGTCTCTTGTAAGGTATCATTACAAAGCTCATAATCTACTGAGTGTGATCATCCTATTTGTAGAAATGTACCACTCTTGTATCTAAAACTAGAAATATAAAACATAACTCTGAGGGCCTATTGTAATTATGTAAAGTGTGGGCCATTAAGGATGGTTTGGAATCTTGACGACTCCCATTGTCTGCAGATGGCTGTATTTACCTGTGAGTCTTCCTGTATATGTGTGTGCTGGCAAGTGAGTAATGAAGTCTTGCAGTGACATGTGATCATGTCACCTGAACTGGAATCCATCTTTAACCTGGTGCTTTTCCAGTGACGGGGGGTGGAAACCCAGAGGGACAAAGGGTTCCCGCCTTATGCAAAAGATATATAAAGGGGTGGAACAGAAGAGAGAGAGGGAGGAGCCATCATGGAGAATCCCCTAGATAACACCTAAGCTGGAACAAGAGCGGTACCAGGGGAAAGAATTGTGCCCAGGCCTGGAAGGTGTCCAGTCTGAGAAAAACTTACTGAAGCATCTCTGAGGGTGAGATTATCTGTATTTAGTTTGATTAGGCATAGATTTGCGCATTTTATTTTATTTTGCTTGTGACTTACTTTGTTCTGTCTGTTACTACTTTGAACCACTTAAATCCTACTGTCTGTATTTAATAAAATCACTTTTTATTTAGTAATTTACTCAGAGTATGTATTAATACCTGGGGGAGCAAACAACTGTGCATATCTCTCTATCAGTGTTATAGAGGGCGAACAATTTATGAGTTTGCCCTGCATAAGCTTTATGCAGGGTAAAACGGATTTATCTGGGTTTAGACCCCATTGGGAGTTGGGCATCTGAGTGCTAAAGACAAGCACACTCCTGTGAGCTGTTTTTGGGTAAACTTGCAGCTTTGGGACAAGTGATTCAGACCCTTGGTCTGTGTTGGAGC